GTTGACTCTCATGTCTTTCTTTATCAAGGACATTAATAGCAAGCAAGTTCATTCTCATATCTATAATGTGTCTGACATCTTTCAAGGTCAACATACAGCCTATACTAGTTTGTACAATAATATCACAAATCCCAATAATCTATGACCTATTCTTGTTTCTCATTTTGGTGTAACCAAAGTTTCTTACTTTGTAAGTTGTAAATAACTTTCTCTTAGGAACACAATGATATGCCACTCCTATGTCAACTATTCACTCAATATCGGGATCACCAACATGATTACAATTACCATGTATATAAATCAAAGTAACTGAATTATTATATGAATTTACTGCTGTAACATTATATCATCTGAACTCTTGCTTTTCTCATATTTTTGCTCTTACTTCAAGATTTTATAGTGTCATTTTATATGACCTGTTTTACCATAATGAAAACACTTTACTTTATCTGTGGACTTAGATCTATGTTTAGACTTACTATGACCTTTTGAGTTCTGATCTCTGTTGATGTTTTTACCTCTATTTTCTATGACCATAACTTGATTTTCAGGGTTTACATCTTTTTACCTTACTTTTTCATTAAGCATAATGTCTTTTACCATCTCTAATATCACCTTGTAATCAGGAGATGAATTAAAAACAATCATAACTAAAGTATTCCAGTTGTCTGACAATGAACCCAAAAGAAATAATGCCTTCATTTCATTATCTATCTTAAGCTTCATAGTAATCATTCGATTAAATACATCTTGAAAATCACTCAAGTGCTTTGTAATAGATCGTCCATCCCTATACTGTAAAGTTACAAACTTTTTAACAAGCATAACTTTATTTATACTTGTTTTTCTCTCATACAATGTTGTCAATTTTTTCAAACAGTGTGGGTATCTGTCTCCTGCGCTACATGATAAAACACATTGATATCAACCCATTTTCTAATTGTAGCCAGCGTCTTTTTGCCTAACTTCTTTCAGCTTTTATCTTTCATATCTGCTAGTTTAGTCGAATCTTCCAATATCGGTTCATACAAATTTTTACAATATAAATGATGTTCATCATAAGCTTTCAAATTGAATAATTTGATGCTGTCAATTTTATCATGGAACCTATATCACCTTTCATAATCTCAAACAGAATTTACTTCTGTCTTAGGCTGCTTCTATATCGATGTCTCAAAATAACTCTCACTCTGATAACACTTGTTGGGCCTGAAGTAATAAACACAGCAATGCAGAAGCAATATATCATAATAATCCCACAGTAATAAACAACAATTAATAATCAACAACGTAAGAAAAATAAAATACACCAAGATTTATGTGAAAAACCCTTTGATGTAGATGAAAAAAATCACGAACCACCAGAAAAATCTTCACTATTAAATAATGGATATACAAAATTCTTCTCTAGCTAAAACTAGAGCTAATTAACAATTTGAGAGACAATTAGAGAAATCTCACTAAATAAGTTACTCAACAAATACACATTGGATTTGTTTTTAGAGAGTTTTAAACCCGATCTTCGCTATTTAAAATATAGAATTCTAAATCATAAACCTACTGACAAAATTTCAGTTCAATTGGATCATGGATCGACTTTGTTCAACCAACTCTCTCTTATCCCTTTTCTCTCTATTTTTTTGGCTTTTCTTTCCCCTTTCTTTTCTTGATTTGTGGCATCACCGTTTTATTTTTTTAACCTTAAAACAACCACATATTTTTTTATTAAGTAGCTAGGACTCTTTTTAAGGAAGCCTAAAAACACAATATGCATGGCCTTTGAGTAGTAAAAAATCCATAGGGTTGGACTCCACTTTCCTAATAAATTGCACCTTTATTGTAAGGGCAGAGGGCAAGCCCAAATGCTTGGTTCGGCTGCTGCCCTAGAATGCTGAGGCCAAAACCTGGGAGAAGAGCTTGAATGGAGTGGTAACCAGTGAGCTTGTTTAAGTTTCCTTCATAAGGTCATAGGCAATTCCCTGCAGAGTTTGAACAAAAGTGCAAGAGAGGGTCAACTCCAAAAGCTGCTTGGAGAAGAAAAGCAAAGGTTAACAGATGAAGAAGGGATGCAAATCTTGAAGAAGATATTGTTGAAACTAATGATGATATGATGCAATTAGCTTGTTTGTTTAAGCTTAGGACCATGAAACTGTTATTTATAGGGCAAATTTCAGATTTGACCATGGAGATGATATGTTTAAGAGGCTGACCTTTTCAGTTTTTTCTGCTCTATTTTCTTCAATGTGCAAGCAAGGTGACAAGAAATTTTCAAACGTGGGCCGCGGCACTCAGATAATTCTTTAATGAGTAAGCTGAAAACGCACTTATTCATCAACTATCACGCAGGAGTAGTTGTGGAAATTACTATATACGATAGAACAAATCAAACACTACAGCCTGATTGCATGCAAAGTTAGCTCCTTCATGATCTTGTAGTATTTTCTGTTCAAACACACACACACACACACATATATATATATAATTATTTTTTTTCTATCCAAATCCATTTGGTAAACGTGCAAGTCACATTAATAACAATTTATATACCTAATAATTCGTGTATTTGTGTTTGGTTATTTTATATTTAATATAAAACACAAAAGCTTATCATAATTTATATGATCATGTTGAATACAGAATATATTTTTTGATTTTTATAAAACCTATATATGATTTTTATTAAATTTTATATTATGTTGCTTATACATTTTTTTGCACCGTTAATTTTTATCGTATATTATGTCATATTTAAAATTATTAAGTATAAATGAGCGTTTGATTTCATAGAAAAAAAACTACTGAAATCCTTTAAACATGGGATATTTCTTGTCAAAAATTGTAAATATATACTATTAAATTAACCACAATTTTTGTTTGAAAATTGAAAAGAACCATGAAGTTTACAAGTTCAATGCCTGATGAGATTCTTCAAACTCTTAAAAAACCCCATGAAAAAAGAAATTGCAGATTGTGTCAAATTAGCACCACCAAATGGAGTGATTTTCAGCTTTGCTATAACCTGTAAGCTATATCTAGATGATCATTGACAAATATGTCTCTTAATTAGGAGCTGATGGTGAATCAGTTCATTGGTCTTTCATAAGTTCGAGAAGTTCATTTCACATCCTTTTTCTTTTGTATATTAATAATTATAGAAGGAATTTTTTTTATATGACAGAGGGCTAGGTCTAGGGGAATTGGAGAAGGGACTTTCTTTTTCTTGTTTTATTTCATAAAATAGATTTTAGGCGGCAATGATCACCTCAGCACGAAGAATCAAATGTTTGACCAATAAAGAAGTGTACCATATGCAAGAGTTGACTAATTAGCAGTCTCTCTGTCTGTCTGATCAATGTTTGTAAGGGTTAATTTAGCATTATTGTTATACATGAAAAAGGTTTAAACTGAAAAAATTGTGTTTAAAAGATATGAGGTAAAAAAAGTATAATTAAAAATTTTAAGTTTTTTTTTTTGGCTAAATCAAATTGGAATTCATTAAACGAAACTGGTTACAATCTGGATCAATAATTTAAGGATTTGTAATGCTGTGATTAACGTTGTAAAGGACCTTTTTGTTCGTGTAATGATTTTGTTGCTATTTGCTTGTCCGGTGGTTGCATTTGGTAAATTAAAATTCGATGCAAAAATAATATAATTTAAAATTTTAATAAATATTATATATAAATTTTAATAATAATTTAAAAAATATATTTTATATTTTTTTGTTTTAACATAAATATAACATATAATTTTTATATAAAATATAGTATACAAATTATTAATATTGTACACGATGGGGTTGCGGATTGATCAGATAGCAAAGATATATAGCAATGTAATATTTGGCAGATCTTGGTGCTGGGAGAACTGGAGTAGGCCAATCCAAAGGATGTGGTGATGCAAAAGCGTAAAGAAATGACAACTCAACCCCCTTTATGAGTTCCCAGTTCTTTCATGTCTCTCAAAGTTTTTATTTGATTTTATCAGTTTGCCTACCTGGTGTTTTGCACTTGTAGTGAAATTTGATGAGATGGGCTTCAAGTAGTAAAATAATTTGGGTGAATATTTCTCAGGGAAAGTTGATTGAAATCCACTTTACTGAAACTTAAAAAAAATAGAAAATTTGTGACCAAAGATTCAAACCTGTAAGCTCATTTTTAATATTGATGAAATTCATTTATTGGAGCATATATTTATTTTTCCTTCATGAAATCTGTAACTAAGCATCAAGTTTGAATTTGTTTTCTTCTCCAAATAGGCAGTTTTGGATCCACCTTTCTTTTCAACCTATGAAGAAATAACACAATATTTTATCTTTGATTTAAGTAAATCAGATAATTTATGTATTCATATTATATAAAATATTAAAATTAATATATTCATATTATATTTTACATAAAAATTATATATCATAATTTATATCGATACGAAAATATAAAATATAATTTTTTTTATTTTATTAAATTCATATATAATTATTATTATAATTTTAAATCATATTATTTTTATGTTTTATTTTCGTATTTTATTCTTAACATATCTTATATTATATTTTAAATTATTTTCGAGATAGAAATCAAACTTGCCCTTGATTTTAAACTACGTCATGGATGTTCTAATAAATATGCATGATCATGTTAATTGGAAATTATGAATCAACAACGAAATTAAAATTCTTTTGGATATTCATAAAAATCTAAATCTTTTAGGAATTCAATATGAAGGAAGAATACACATTTTAGATCACAATTCTGGATAATAAATTTTACACTTAGGGGTGAGTAGTTTGATTTGTTGGAAAGATAATGAAAATTATAGGAGCAATTTTAATGCCAAAAGAAAAAAGAAAGTTTGTTTAAAATAAAAATGGAAGAAAATAAAAATTGACTAATGAACAACGGCTTACAGAAGGACAGTCAAAGACGGTGACAATGAGGCACACATTTATCCACATGTCGTTCTCTCACTGGACCTTTTATCACTTTACGAGTAGGTTTAGCACGCACGAAAAGCAAGGAGTACAACACGCTTCATCGTTTTTTCCTTTTTCTTTCTTCCTCCCCCCAAACAAGCTCTGTCGAATAAAAACCCTCAGACTTAAAACCCTAAAACCATTAATTAAAAACAAAGACACCAAACACAGATTTCTGATTCTTTATTTCTAATTCTTTTTTGTTTATATTAACCTTTACTGACTTTTGATAATCTCACCGACAGTAGCATTCTAATGAGTCGATATGATAGCCGCTCTGGCGATCCCATCACCTACCGCGACCGTCGAAGGTAACTACTCAAAATTGCATTACCCAATATTATTAATTTAATTCTCATTTTTTATATTTTCAAGTTCATTTGTTATTCTAGGTTTTATTGGTTTTTTTTTTTTTTTTGTACCTAGATTAACTCATTCATGTCGTTATTCGTCTTTGTTCCAAAATTAGTGAACTACAAATGACCAAATTCGTGTTAATTTTTAGTTGTGGCTGTGTTTTTCTGTCTGGGTTTTGCGTTACTTTAGTTTAGCTTGGCTTAAAATCCAAGACTAACTGATAAATTTTGATTGAATTTGTTTGTTAAATATTTTAATGAATTTGATGTTGTTTTAGCTACCCATTGCTCTTAAATGATTGAATTTAACTTCAAACGCAGTGACATTTCAGTAATTTTAACGCAATGTGCATTGGGACATTGGCAACATCTCCTGTCTAAGTTTCTGTTCTACTATCTAATTTTAGTTTTTTCGAAGTTTCTGTTTGTTTAATTTTATGTGTTGCTAATAGTGACTCAGGGTTTGGTGGGGCTTCAGCATATGGCAGTTCAGTGCGGTCCTCCTCAAGCAGAAGGGATTATGATGGTGCTGAACCGTCTAGGAAGTTGGATTTGGACGGGTTGACTCCTTTTGAGAAGAATTTTTATGTTGAGTCATCGTCGGTGGCAGCAATGTCAGAGACGGAGGTGGAGGAGTATCGGCAACGAAGGGAAATTACTGTTGAAGGCCGTGATGTTCCAAAGCCCGTGAAGAGTTTCCGTGATGTGGGATTTCCAGGTAATTTTTGTTGGTTCTTTTAATTAAGTCCAGCTTTTTTTTTTTTCATGTAAGTATCTGTTTTTTTCCTTTTCTTTCTCTTTTCTTTTTAATTTGGCTAAGTTTTTTGTTTGCCTATCAACACAAAGTGAAGCTGCAGGGATTGTTGTATCTGTACTTATTAATGATGTGATTTTTACTTCTTTTCAAGTGTAGTAGATGGCAGAGGCTGTTTTCTGGTCACTGCTCTCTGCTCTCTGGAATCTGAGATTCAATTGATGCACATTTGATGATTTTTCACATTATTGCAATTAAAGATGTATATATTATTTTCTCAAATACAGCTGAGCCTTAGATCCAGACATAAACTGTTTGTTATATGAACCAGTGAGCATAGTTAGCATATTAATGTAATGGTTTTTTCTCTTTAGTAATTAAAATTAGTTGTTTCAGTATCAAAAATGATCTTTAGAGAAGCTGAGAATTTATTAGTTGTGGGATTGAATAAAATGTGTTCTGTTTTCCTAAATCTATTTTTGTATAGAAGTTTAAATTTAAAGTTTAAAAGTGATGGGCACTTTAAAAACCTGAAAATCTGTAGAGCTTTTTTGTGGAGGATTGAGGATATATTGACAGGTAAAAGATTTACATTAAAGGAAATGTCTTTTTGAGTGACCAGAATACCAGGTGTACCATCTTACAACCTTAACATTGACCAAGTTTGTTTGAATGGTGAACATGGTTGATGACTGCTGTTTAATGCTTAGCGTTTTGTCGTTTACCTAGCTACCTCTTTGGGTTCTTTGTCTGTTTACTTAGCTACCATTTAGGTTCTGTGTTATTTACTTGGCAATTGGTGACAAGACGACAAACTTAGTATTTCTTTATTACTTGAAGATTCTCAATTATGTATTTGCTCCCAGAAAAGCATCTATAAGCTCCATGACTGGACTAGACAGTTATTGTATTGACAATAGGTTTTGAGTCACAGCTTCTGGCTTTGTTTGTGCATGATCACTTTTGTAAATGATGTCTGATTAGAACTAGTGCCAACAAGCAGCTTAATAAAAGTTTTTTTTTTTTTGGAAGGAGGTTAATAGAAGATTTTGATGTCATCTTATTGTTTCTAGTAGTTACTAAATGCTCACAAGGAAACAGCTATCTATTGCCTTTATGGATTTACCCCTTTGGGCAATAAATTAGGCTCATCTCAAACCTTCATTTTCCCATATCTTTGCTGATATGCTCTTGCTGCTTCTAGATGTTAAATCACTGGTGGTTTATTGATGCCATGTTATGAATTGTTTATCAGTCTAAAGAGTGATTTTATGACGTGTAACATATTTGCATATACACTTCATACCATAGTAAAAAGATTATCCTTTTGATGGTTAAAGAAGTTGTTATTTCAAAATGTTTTGGGTATTTCTTAGTTATATAGAATTTCACTTCAGTATTTGAAAATAATTTTATTTATAAGCGTTTTGGGTATTTCTCATCTCTTCATAGATTCTTCTGTTGTGATAATTTATGTTCTTTTCTTGACTCCAGACTATGTAATGCAAGAAATCATAAAAGCTGGCTTTGTTGAACCAACAGCCATACAAGCTCAAGGCTGGCCAATGGCTTTGAAGGGCCGCGATCTCATTGGTATTGCTGAAACTGGATCAGGGAAGACTCTTGCCTATTTATTGCCTGCAATTGTCCATGTCAACGCACAGCCAATTTTAGGTAAACAGTTAACTCCTAATTATGATTTGCTTTCCTTAGCATGTTTTTAATAATTGGAGGGAATAACTTTTGATCATATTGTATATATTTTCAGCTCCTGGAGATGGCCCAATTGTATTAGTGTTAGCTCCAACACGTGAACTTGCGGTTCAAATACAACAAGAATCTGCCAAGTTTGGTGCCTCATCAAGGATCAAGAATACATGCATATATGGTGGGGTACCAAAGGGACCTCAAGTTCGTGATCTCCAGAAAGGTATATGGTTATTTGCTTGGGCAACTGTTCCATTTTATTTTGTTGTTCCTTAACTTCTTGTTGTCTCTTATACATGGTCTTTCAGTTTAAGATGCTTTCTGACATGTTTATTAGTAGATTAAATAATCAGTTATCTTTGGTTTGTAGTTTCTTACACTTGTTGATAATAAAAATGATAATATTGTTTGTTGGAACAGGTGTTGAGATTGTTATTGCTACACCGGGGAGATTAATAGATATGTTGGAGTCACATCACACAAATTTGCGAAGAGTTACTTATTTAGTATTGGATGAGGCAGATCGGATGTTAGATATGGGATTTGAGCCTCAGATACGAAAAATTATTTCTCAGGTCTTTGTTCTCTCTCTTTCTCTATCTCTCTCTCTCTCTCCATGCCCTTGAAAATAACAATTTATTAACTCAATGTTGGGAAAAAAGTATATCATGAATCATCTTTCTATGTATGAGAACAGTTCATTGTGGGAGTAATGGTTTCTCTTCTCATCTCTCTTCCTTATCTTCCTCGTTAACCTTCTTAATGCCACTCAAGTATACTTTAAAAAAATGAAATCTCAGACTTTGCTATTTATACTTGTTGCTTAATTGTCCAAGTGATGTGGTGGAATTTAACTCTGTAGGATGATAAGAGTGTTGATTTCAGAAGTCTAAGCTAAAAGCTTTAAGAATTCATGAAAGAATTAGATTCTTTGCCTTGGTTTACAATTCAATGCGGCCTTGCACCCGCCAGAAGAAAAATGATTTAAGAGGGCAAAATGAGAGGAGGAAATAGTGTAATCTCCAAATTTACCTGTGATTTAGCTAAGAATATGTGCTTGTGTAGAACCTCTATTTTTTTTTATATAAGCACTGAAATGAGTTGGCATTCTCACCCTCTAGCTCAGCCCCTCTTTCTGTGAGTGTTTCTTATGCATTATGCTTTATGCAGATCCGTCCTGACCGTCAAACTTTGTACTGGAGTGCTACTTGGCCAAAGGAGGTTGAACAGTTGGCCAGGCAGTTTCTTTACAACCCATACAAAGTAAGATGCTTCATAATTTTAGTAACATTTACTCATTGGCTTCACCTGTGTGGGGATGTTATATATTGCTATTAGTTATGACATTTTACTTTCTATTTAATGCTGATGTGATTTCCACGTATCATCTCATTTACTTTCTCTTTGTTATTTTATAACTTTGAGAATTCTAGTCTTTCCTAATATAATACATAGCTTCTAAATCTGATTTTATGGAATAATTACCTTTAAGGGTCTTTGCTATTCACTTTGTTGTTTTTGATGCTTTGTTATTTGCTTAATTTATTGTCTTATTGGTCTTTGTGCAGGTGACAATTGGATCTGCAGATTTAAAAGCTAACCATGCTATTCGCCAACATGTTGACATTGTTTCAGAGAGTCAGAAATATAACAAGTAGACAGCAGTTTACTTCGTTCTTATGGTTTTTAGTTCTTTCACTGTAACATATAGTATTGGGATGTTTTGAGGCTGTTCAGACTTTATTGATCTGTCTTGATATTCTAGATTGGTGAAGCTGCTAGAGGATATCATGGATGGTAGCAGAATTTTGATTTTCATGGATACCAAGAAAGGTTGTGACCAGATCACTAGGCAACTTCGCATGGATGGTTGGCCTGCTCTCTCAATTCATGGAGATAAAAGTCAAGCAGAAAGGGATTGGGTCCTCTCAGAGTTTAAAGCTGGCAAGAGCCCTATAATGACTGCAACAGATGTTGCAGCTCGTGGTTTAGGTATGTATATTTATATTTATATTTTATTGAGTACTTTGCTTTCTATTTTTTTTGGACTCTTTTTACTTGAATCTGGCATCTGATTTGCTGCCAGCTAGTAATGTTGATAATTCCCGTTTTTAGTTGTCTGAAACACTACCTTTTTAAATTGTTGAAGTTATTAATTATTGCTGCTTAGCTATTATTCTGAGGTCTTGTTACCATATCCATGGCTTCTTTTTATGTAAACAAATCATTATTTAACCATTCATTTCATAGTATTGATGCTTTGGTAATGTAATGCCCCCAATCCAACTTTCAGAAGTTGTAAGGATTCGTTATGGTATATATGTAGAGATGTAATTACATACTTGTGAAGTATACAAAATTGTGAGACCTTTTTATATGAATGTAGCTTTGCAAGGTGTAGTAATTTTCCTTCACATGTAGCTTTATTGAACTGGGGATAGTCTCCTTAATTAATTAAATTGTGATCATGATGATGTTTTTGACTTGAATTTTGCAGATTATCCTTAGTTTCCTATGTATGTTAGTATTCGACATTCATATTTTTACATGCAACTCGTTATTGCAATTTGTCTGGCTAGCATTAGTGTTTTGATTCCTTTTACAGAATAGAAATTTACATGGAGTTTGGGGTAATCTGGCTTGCCTTAGGACTTGATTGAAAGAACCACTTGCATGTTTAGAATGCGAATGAGTTCACACATTCTGCTTAACTCTCGGAAAGGGACAGTCAACTTTACTGGCCTCACTATCTGGGTTACTTACTAATTTGGTTGGTGGCAGATGTGAAAGATGTGAAATATGTAATCAATTATGACTTCCCGGGATCCCTTGAGGATTATGTCCATCGCATTGGTCGAACAGGAAGAGCTGGGGCAAAAGGCACTGCCTATACTTTCTTCACAGCTGCAAATGCCAGATTTGCAAAAGAACTTATTGCCATACTTGAGGAAGCAGGACAAAAGGTCAGTCCTGAGTTGGCAGTGATGGGACGTGGTGCACCTCCTCCACCATCAGGTTAGTTCACTGTAGTTCTTTTGGAACACACAGACACATGCCAATATTGGCACCATACAGCAGCAAATTCAATGGAATTGGATGAATTTTAGCCAGTTTTGATACCCTTTGCACATCTAGATACTTGATTCATGAAGAGACCACTGGAAAACACCCGGGCATTACAATAGAAGTAATTGTTAACTGAGCTACATTTTGCTTTGATGGCCTGTAATTATATAAGAAAATTAAATGGAGCTGTAGGAGCTAATTGAGCTGATTGAATTGCCTGATGTGTGTGTTACTTGATTTTTATGCACAAATAAATAGACATGTCTGGCATGTTGTACGCAAGTTCTCAATCATGATACATTATTTCTCATACTCATTTTGTTTATCTGATGAATCAGGTCATGGTGGTTTTCGAGACCGAGGTAGAGGTTCTGGTGGCGGTCGCCCATGGAGCTGATTAATCAAAAGATCCCCACAAGGAGAAAGTTGTAAGACTATGAGGGTACAGTGTAGTGTAGACATAATTTGTTTGACTGTCACTACTACTACTTTTCTGGGTTCAACTGTCAGCGGGAAGATAGAAACTTGTAAATTAATTTTGTTTTTACTTTCTGATAATCCATTTTTTCCCCCATTAAGCGAAGAACTAATGAACGAAAAAGAACTAGAGTTGTATTTTTTGTTACCATACCCTGGCCTGGGCCAAAGCCTGAAGTCATCTTGATCATGTGATCCTCGACAAATTAAAGCTAAAGAAATCAAGGACGTAGACATATGATAATCCTTCACCAAACTGCCTCCACTCCCCACTTCTATCACTTTACGATAGCATGATCGAGTTTTTAAATATTCAATTCTAAAAGAATGCAACACGACGACTATTAAGGTAAAAAAAAAAAAAAAGGTGCTTATGACTTAGGTTGGGTTCAATTATTGTTTATATTTAATATTAATAGTTTATATATTTATTTAAGTTGGATTCAATTTAATATTCTAGATTTTAAGTTTGACTTAAAATGAAAAAATAAATTTTAAATTTATTTATTAAATTTAATTTATATAATAAAAAATAAAAAATTTTAATAAAATATAAAAATTTAAGTTCACATATATTCATATAATCATAATATTTTAATTATTTATTTTATTTGAGTTAACTTAGGTTTTAATTTTTTTTATTTAAGGTTCAATTTAAAATTTAAGTCGGGTTAAAAATTATGATTAAGTTTGTTTAATTGATTTTAATCTTTTATCTAAATTTAAAAAAAATTTAGGCAACCTTTGAAATCTGGATAGATAATCCGACCCTTTAACGGGTCTAAGCTCAGTCTTAAAATCTTTTTTATGAGAATCGATAATAGAAAGGGAATTGTTCTGCCAAAAGAGGCCTTGACACGATGACAAACGCACGAAGGCCGCCCCAGACCAGAAACAGGATCAATACGTCGTCGCTTAAAATATTTTTCCTCCTACTTAACAAAAAGGCAACCTTGGGCAACTCTCAGATAACGGCTTCTCTTCTTTCATCTAACCATCTCCCAAAAAAAAGATAAAAGATAAAAATTCACCTGACAAAAAATATTTTTTTAATATTTTAATCAAGTCCCTGCTAACAAACCCTAGTTTTTGTCATTCATATCCTCATCACAGGTTTCAACTCATCTTCTTTTTCCTTTTTTTTTTTTTTTTAATTATTTGATTAACAATAAAAACAGAAACTGAGGACTCATATTTTCTCCTGTAAAGGTTTTTTTTTTTTTTTTATTTGAATTGTAAGTTTTTGCTTAAATATCTGTTTTGGTTGCACACAAAACGGTCTAGAAGCAGAGAAAAGAAGTGGGTTTTTTTTCTTAATCTGACCGTTAAGAGTTGAATTGTGCTCAAGTAAGAAGAAAAAGTCGACTTTTTTTTTTTACTGTTTTAGATTGGTAATTTAGGTTTTTTAGCTAATTTATGTAAATTTATGGTTTTTTTCTTCGTTTTTGTCTGTATTTGCTTTTGTGCATTTATGTTTATAAATTTTGTATACCAAATTTGATAGAAGAGAACTTAACATGGCAGTGGAAATAGATGATTGGAGATTTCAAATTGGTTTATGTGGAATAAGGTTTCTAGTGTTCTTTTTTTTTGGATAAATTAAGGTTTCAGTTTTTATCTGAAATTGATGGGGCCCAAGCAAGAACAATGGTAGCTTTATTGTTGAACGTCTGCCATAGGAGTTTAGAACATAGTGTTGTTCATGTTTTGTTATGGGAATTTAAGGCTGATTGTCACCTTTAGTGTATGCATTAGGGGATTTGATTGTTCAGAAAAGGAATGTTAATCCACGCACTTGATTGAAACTTAGCAAACCGGTTAAAGTTCTGGACTTCTTTGCTTCTGTTTCTTGGTATTCTACATATGATTCATCTAAACTCTGTTCAACAGTTGTATGAGAGAGTCAGTTGAGCTGCATCTGGCTTTTTTTTTTTCCTGCTTGTTATTAATTATGGAAAATCTTTTGGATCCAATTGGCACTTGTTGTGTATATTGTTTTCCTCTTCATAGTGGACTGCATAAATTTCATTAAGACTCTGATTAACAGGTTCCGTGCGAAAATGCAGTTATATACTAAGTCTGTCACAATTACGATATTTATAAATGCTGTTTATAAAATGATTCAAATATTCATTAAAGCTGACTATAAAATTATTCAAATGTGCTACTTTTTCCCAGAATAATTTAAAATGGCTGGGAGAAACCGCATTTCTCGCGAAGTCTTCAATGACCGGCGTGGATTCCCTCCTGAAAGACCTTTCCTTCGTGGTCCTCCTCTGCCACAGCCACCTCCTCATCCTGTGTTGCTGGAGGAAGAAATTGAAATTCAGCATGCTGAATTTCGGAGGCTTTTGACTGATAACCGCAGGCTAGTAGAAGATCGAATGGCTATAAATCAAGAACTTGCTGCTGCGAAAGAGGAAATTCATCGTTGGAATCACGTCATTGGTGAAATTAGGGCAGAACAAGAACTGCACTCAAGGGGACTTATTGAGAAAGGCTTGAAACTTGAGGTAGATCTCCGTGCAACTGAACCATTGAAAAAAGAGGCTGTGCAACTCCGTGCTGAAGTTCAGACACTGAATACTGTTAAGCAGGAGCTAACTGGCCAAGTTCAGACTCTCAAGCAAGATGTTGCCAGGCTGCAAGCTGATAATCAACAGATACCTATCATAAGAGCAGAAATTGATGGCCTGCACCAGGAATTGATGCATGTGAGGTATATACCTGAATTCTTTTTCACCCTTCTACTTTTTAAAATTTTCCAAACGAATGAAAGTGCTTCCTTTCCATCAAACATTTAACTTGCAGCTCCACTTATTATTATATCCGATCATATTTTTAATTGCTAAGTTTGAAATTTATTTCATAGGACTGCTATTGATTATGAAAAGAAGGCAAATATTGAGCTGATGGAACAAAGACAAGCAATGGAGACAAGCATGGTCACCATGGCACGTGAAGTTGAAAAGCTACGTGCGGCACTTGCCTGCTTGGATGGTAGACCATGGGCTGCCAGTATGACCTATCTTTCTTCTATCTATTTGGTTTATGTTTCTCCTTCAAACTTGAGTAGTGTGATGTTTGTTGTTTAATGTGCTGGCTTTTCATTAGTTTTCATCCTTTGACTCAGGCTGTGTTCCACACCTTGTGTTTCCTAGATTTCTTTCTTTCCTGTCACCATTCTGATAGGATTTTCTAACGGTTTTTCACCAAGCCTAGTTGTATTTATTGGAGTTTATCTGTGAGAAAATTCTCAACTGTTCATTCTACGTACACATCATTCTGTGTACATATGGGGGTCCATTTTACCTTGGACTACACAAGAGGACTTGTTTTCTCTCACTCATAAATGTCCCTCTACACCACCATTCCTTTCTGATTCTGAAGATTTGAACTTGGGACCTTCAAGTGGAGCGTCTGAAGTTCAAATGGCCGGGTGTCTCTTGTAGACTCCATTCAACTTGCATTGATGTGTTCTGGGTTTTGCCTTAGTCCTTTGGTCTGCTCAATTGAATGATAGTAACTATATTTTGCTCCCTTGCCCACTTCCCTTCTTCTTGTCTAGAGTTCATAAAATAATTGATTAGTTGATATAATGTATTGACTCGGAGCATTGGTGTTTTATGTTACTTCTAATCTCAATGTCTTGATGAATGATGGCTCAAGGCGGACCATATGGGATGAAATTCAACAGTTCGGAGGGGGCTGTTCCTTCTCCATATGAAGGATATGGGGCTCATCTGGTATTTATGCTCATCTTCTTGTCTGATTTATTTGTTTGGCCATAAAGCTATTACATCAGGATTGTAATTTTTTCAATTCAAAATTGTTTTTACTTAACAGGGTGTTGCGGACAAAGGTCCTTTTTATGGTCGTGGTCCTGTTTCTTGGGAGAGGCCTCGCATGGCTCGTCACTAGGAGAGTTATTGCTTGATGGAAGAAAGATGACATTGTTGTTCCACTTTTAAACTGCAAAATATTGATCAGCACGGAGTTCATCATCTATGTCTGCGTGCGACATCAATAATTTTTATCTTAATATATTGTTAGTCATCTTAAACTTCTTATATAAGATTCTGTTGTGCTTTCTGTTAATTGGTAGAGGAAGTGGCATCCCATTTATATACACGAGATCATAATATGATAATTTGGACTTCTATTGGGTCCAATTCTTCATTGCTAGTTTTCTTTTTTCTTTTCTTTTTTTTTTGTCTGTTTTTAGGTAATTATTTTATCCCTTTTGCTTGATTATAACTAATATTACTTTCATTAGAAGTGCCGGCCTCTGAATAGGGTAGTCGTCTTGGATCCATTTGTAATTTACGGCCTATGAATGAAGCTTTTGAATGAAGCTTTTGGTTACAACTTACAAGTTAATGGATGCTACCTTTTTGAGCGATTTGGCAAAATTCTTGGAACCATTTGTGTGTGATAGTAGATTGTAGAAGAAGCAAAGAAGTTATGCCTAGCTGTAGAAAGATAATGTAACGTCCAATGGAACACAAACCCTACATTTTAGTCGTAGTGTAGATTCTTTTAGTTTCTAGGTCATCTCGTGCAACATTTGAATACTAGTAATTTTGGTGGAGGTCATATTTCTCTTGAAAATTGAAAGTTATTGCTTTGTGGATATTGTTGGAGGTGGATATGTTAATATTAAGTGCATGATATTCTATGTGAGATAAATAGGGTAACATGTATCATGGTAGATTGTGGTTCTGAATATGTGCATTTCTTGTATTTAATCTGGAAGCAGAAGTTGGTAGGAAGATATGTTCAACTTGCTTCAAAGGGCCACTTATGGACATTTGTTGGGAGTTGATCTATTAAATTTTGAATGCATGCTATTTCTTCTGAGATGAATTGAGACTTTGTATCTCTGTAGAATCAAGATGTGCTGTTTGGTATGTAATTCAGGAGGTTATAAGTTGCATTTTTACCAGGAATAGAAATCTCTGAGAATGAATTCTTATCTCTCAAGTGATATGGACATTCTATTGGACAGTGAGAATGATCTCATGCTCTAGATGTAAATTGTTTAGAGCATTCATGAGCTGCCCTTTCGTGTGCTTTTATTAGCTCTTATTTCTTGATGACTGCTGTTGCAGTATATGAAGTATGGTTGCTGCAAATTTTAGTGGTTTTGCTTTTAGGTCTCTTGTTCGCTCCTTGCAAGCAAGTCTTATTGGAGAATCATTTGTCTTACTTAAATTTACTGTAAAGTGCCCTCAGTATCCATTGCTATGTGGTTGTCTCTGAAGCTTTGAGGTGCAAGTGTTGTTGGGAATAGTCAAAATGGCATGGTGCATGTGAGCAGGGCCTTGTTTGGATATATATATATATATATATATATATATTTTGGAATAGTTTTTATATTATTTTTCCTTTTTGGAGTATATGACTTGGAAAACTGGTGCAAGAGTCTGGTGCAAGAGTTTTATTTCCTTGTGTTCTTATGGTCTGTTGAGAATGTGATGAAGAGCAAGACCTTATTTGGTTTTGACTTTTAACGGACTTTGGCTTGAGGTATTTTGGATTTAGAAAGTATTAGTCTTGATAGAGTTTGCAGAGCTACTTATAATTTCCTCTGATGGTACTAGTTGTAAAAATGGGTTTTCCCAGCTATAATGCATGGGCCAATGTAAACATTTGTGCATGCAGTATCACAACTCATTTTGAGCTATAGTCAACATTTTCTTGTAAGTTTATCAGAATTACAAAAGGGTTCAACTAGCCTTTCCTTTGTTTTTTTAGAGGATTTATGATAGGGTTTGATCACACTCTACAATTGAGGGATTTCTAGTAGTAAGCTGATGAAGCAGGTGGCATATGAGGTAGAATATGTTTTATGTGAAGAAAAGGGTTCAGATTCTGGAATATTAGTCAGTTATTGGATGTGCTTTTCCATAAATGGCAAGTGCCATGGGTATATCCTTTCAAAACATGCATGGCGATTGAACACAAAAGTCATGGCTCCTTGATTGGATGAAGGATTGTTTGCAGTTCATCCTTCAATTTAATCTCATAGCCATGGTCTGCAGTTTTATTCCATGTCCATAGTATCATCTGCAGTTCTGCAGTTTCTTCTGGTGCAACTCTGCAGCTCTTCTATCATTTTCTTGTTCTGCAAAGTTATTTAGTGGTCAACATATTCCAGCCACCTACATGATTACAAGTGGCTCCGTTATGTATTGACATGACACTGAGTATCTGAAGGAGGATGGGCATGCCATATGGAAGAGGCTGACTACTGATCTATACTTATGTAGGCAAGTTTTCTGTCCGTGTAATTTGAGTTCCATGTATCTAAAATTTGATATTTGTTTTTAAGTTGAATTTTCCTGACATGCTGTCTTTGATTTCATTCTCTTAATTTGGCATTTCCTGCTTTATGTAGAGACCTATCTGCTAATGCTCACATAAAAACTTAATGCTAGTATTGATTTATCTGGGATTAGTATTTATATTTTTTATTTAATTTTGTTCGGTTTGGGATATTTTTGCAAAGCTCCTGTGGAAATAAGTGGTTACATCTACTAGCACTGTTGCTGCAAAGAATTTCTTGAGCCTGTTTTCATACTTGTATCCTTGCAAAGTCTCTTAGCATTTGCACCCCGTATTGGTTGAATTAGGTTTCAGGTTGATCAATTTATAGTTAAACGAGTGGATGTGTGTTTGTCATTTGCCAAGGGTTTGGATGAGGAGAAGGTCCTGCAAAAAAATTTCAAAAAGTTATCATGCTATCAGACTCTTGTTTGTACCAGTTTGTGGTGAAATATTCCATTGGATGTGCCAAAATTAGTAATCTAGGATTGGCAGTGGAAACATCTTATTCTAAGTGCTCAAGGATGGTAGAAGATGTTAGGTTTAATTGGAACATTTGTTTGGATAATTCTTGATTTATGTGATTCACTTGAACGTACATACTTCACAATTAAGATGTTCATGAAGATTTGGTGTAGAATTCACACATCATCTAGAAGGGGAGATAAATGGTATCACTGCTGAGGATGGATGTTTCTCTTTGCTATTTAAGTGGGAAGGAGTTTGTAGAGTAACAATCTATGACGTTATTTAAGAGTACTTTGAGTGGCTTCTTTAATTAGATAAGATGTTTTTCTATTTGAAGGAGCACTTACATAGAGAAAATCTGTTGGAGTGATGAATCATTCAGTGAAGCTAAAATTTTTTTGGGGCAATGAAATATTTTAATGCCAGGCTGTTTGAGGAAGTGAAAAACTTGTGTCATATTTCTGACTACATATCGCTATATCTTTTTATTCTTAATGAGATCAAGGTATGAATCATTTTTGTTTTTTATAGCTAGAGCACTGTATTGATAGGGGAAAGTACTTCTTTTATCCTACATACGAAGTCTGTCAAAGCTGGCATTGGCTGGATGAAGCAGACTTCAAATGAAATTCCTAACTTTATACGGATCTCATCCGACAATAGTTTCCTTGTTTTAAGGATTATGTTTCCTACATTATGCTAACAATTTGAGGAAAAATAGTTCTATTTGTGTAAATTCGTATTTGAGCACTGACAGTTGAATGAACATTAGTATGGAGTTGCTGTTTGCTTCGTGAGGCTTTCCTTCATGCATTTCAAGGTATATGAAGAATCAACTTGAGGCAGGCCTCAAATTGTTAGTTATGGTCATCTTGTTAGTAAGATGCTTATGTGATTGTAGAAGTGGAGGCAGGTGTAGATGTGATTCCTGAGCTGCTACATTGCTGGCAAGTTCTTTTATAATGAATAATTGTAGTTTCCTTTAGATCACTTTTTTGGTTAAATCAAATTGCTTCTTGCTTACTACTCATTAAAGAAGATGTTTTCTTGTTTGTTGGAGAACTTTCCTTGCAAATTGATAGTTCAATTTGTAGATTCCTCCTAATTTTTTGTTTTTAATGTTTGCAGAGGGGAAGCTAGTATGTTCATCATGCAAAAAGGTAATGAAAGAAGATCAGGTATAACTTACATGAGATTGAGGAAATATGAATGAGGTAAAGTTACACTTGCTTCCAGACAAACTTGGAAGAAAATGAAAAAGAGAACTTTCTGTCTGCATGCGTATGAGTTCATTGGTTTATATGCATTTCAATTTAAAGGAGATGAATGGAACTTTGTTATATTATTTTATTTACTTTTGGGTGGCTGTGCAGGTAGGGGGCAGGGATTATAAGTTGTTAGGTTAAACAATGACAGCCATCATTTTCTGTTTTGTAGCCAATGATCTCCATCCCGTTCTCTTTTGTTATCTCCTGTGATCTCTAGTGACTGCAGGATTTGATTGCAATTCCTTTGTACGATCAACCAAGGATGTCATCATATAAGCTTGTTTCACAGTCAGCATTGCCTTAAATGTTTTACCGTCTTAATCATCTCTGGTTAGATGGAATTTCCAACTAACTTGGAACTTTCTAACATCTAACTTTTTTGTTGGTGGTTCATCTGTGATGATATTTCTGAAATTTGTCCTTTTTTTTTATATAGGTTTTATAGCATTCACTAGCTTCTAAAAACATTTGAGAGGAAAACTAGCTTTCAATTTTGAAAGAAAAAAGCTTTGCTCACCACTAATCACTAAAAAGTAATAAGCTAAAGGTAGTATGCCTGCTCTAACTAATTGTTTTTGTTCTATATACTGCAATGATACTGTTGTTTGCATAATTTTAAAGCTATTATGGTTTTTACTTTTTTATGTGTGTGTGTGTGTGTGTCTGTGTAACAGATACGTTCTCTTGCTTGATGATTAGCACCGGGAGAAGCAAACTGCATTTTGTCGTGCATAATCTTTAAATGTCAAATTTTGATGCTACAGCACCCACCCCTATCCTGGTTAGTTGGTGTTATGTTGATCCTCTAGTGTTGCTGCTTTGATTACTGAAGCTGATGCAATGCTGTAACATGAGACCTTATGCCTGTTAGCTCCCTAATGTGTTAAAAATAGATGGTCTTGTAAACAATAGGCATGAATCTTTCTTGTTTAACTTAAAATCATGCTAGTTATAGGATTTTGAAAATTCTTTTCCCCTAATCCTATCTTAATAGTTTTGCCTTTCCTAGGTTGTTTATTTAGTGTTTCAGTAGACAAAAATGAAACATAAAATTCCATTAGAGCCCATAACAATACAGTACTTTTTGCTACGTTTGAGTTAAATACTTAGCTATAAGTTGTAAAAATTGGTGGAAGCAATTTCGATCTTTTTCCCTTCACCTTCACCGGGGTTTTCCTGTCTGGAAAGTTCCCATCACCATTGGCAACATCTTCAACCAAACCATCCACTGTCACGTTAACAGGGTAAGTGACAAGGTGAACTCCAATGTCCACGATTCGTTCATTGGCATAAATTCGCCACATTTGGTCACTTACTGAACGCATTTGGTCGACACATTCCAGGCTACGTGGCTCCAGGATTATGTCATCGGCTAGTCCAGTGTGCTCGCACCATAGGCATGGATATCAGTAGGAGTTGTCGAATTGCTTTCAGGATTTTCTGGCAGCTGATACTGGTAGCAGCCTATTGCAATTTCTGTGTCTCGTCCATCGATCTTTGGTTTATGTTAGCAGATCCTATTAGAATGTACAAATAATCCACTGAAAGTGGCAACAGCAACAAACATGGTTAATCGCAAATCAAGATTGTTATTACCTTGTTATTGTAATGGCCTTGGATGCATCCAAAGCCCTCTTTTTTTTCTTTTTTTTTTTTCTTAAAATGGAATAAAAATGCATAATTAATGACTGATGTATTACCTAATGCCCCTGAACCTCCTATGCTATTGGGATTTCCAGTATCGTGTTGAACCTGTGGGGAATGAGGAGGAACGAAATCTTCCGTCTCTTTTTCCCTGTTTGCAAGACACAAAAGGTTCAAGTAGTCTCTCGGGTGCCCTGGCTGGCCGCTTTCTTTAACGGCTTCTCCCAAAATTTATACATCATTGCCATAGTTCCTCTAGTTCGGTGCAATATATCCTGAACTGGTTCACTGTCAGGTACTCCTTCAGGCCACATTGGTATCAAAATATACACTGCAAACCTGATTTCCTTTGCTCTAATTTTGCTTGCCACCTTCAGTACAATCTCTGCAGGAATCAAATTTCTACAGCCAGATTGCTTATCTTTATCCCACAAATGGCACCTCCCGATGAAATATTGGTTTTCAATGTAAATGTCTGCAGTTATGGTTTTAGACAACTGGCTAGATGAGAAATGGTCACTTGATCTAAAATCTTGTACCTTCAATTCCTGTCGTTGGAAATGCTTGAAGCAAAAGGCTGGCTTACGAGATTTAGTAACAAAGAAAGGTCACATTGCTATAAGTTGGCCAAGACATCCCAAGCGGCTTCCCTACTTATACAGGCATGAGAATCATGCCTTGGTTCCCTTGGTCCTCCTTTGTGAAGGCTAGCTCCAGATATATTTGTTTGATAGAAATCAAAACAATGAGATTCCGTATTAAGTGTTCGAAAAAAGGAATGTAGTCTGTATCATACCGACCATCGCAAAGATCTAATCCACCAACAAAGCTCATGATTTCTCTATCGTTTGCAGAAGAACTATGTGCTCTAATATCAACAGTTAATAGTCTTTTGATGGTGAACAAAGAGTGTTGGTACTAATGGTGCAATGTTGGGCATATCTTGCATATGACTTTGGTATGTTTGAAGTATGCAAAAGCATCTTCATCGTGTATTCTCATTACTCCTTTGTTCTTGATTAATGGTAAGGAATTTTCGTCGTTCCAATGCATAACTCTTACTGCTTCACCTTCTTCAGCTATTCGTTTTAACAATTCGCCAAGCTTGAGATCTTCCATGTGGCATACTTGTTTGAGGATCCTGGACCTGTTTCGACAAGATAATTAGCATTAAAGTGCAACAGGAAAAGGATTAATATATTGAAGGCGAAATACGACAATATTGTTTCATTTACCAAAACCATCTCTGGATTGAAAGACCAGCCTGCAATGTAAATTAAATGTTTTGCAACCTCAATGGCCTCGTATACACCATCCCATAATTTTCTTGGAGTGCCACAGAGAAAATGGAGGCTGAAATGCAGAGATATGGTCTGCGTCTTGATATGGCAATTGGATCGTTGACGAAATGTAGCATTTATGAGACTCTGGAATCCTCCATTTAAGTAGCGAAAATGATTTGGATCAAACGGATTTGATTTGATTTTTTTCAATTAATGCATAATATTATGAAATTTTAAAATTCGAAATAAATCCAAACAAATCTTCTCTTAAAATTTTATTTGATTCAAATAGAATTATATCGATTCGATTCATTGAATTTTAAAATTTAATTATTTTTATTTTTTATATATTATTTTAATAAAACTTTTAATATACTTAAATAAATTTATATATAAAGTAATTATTTTTATGTTATAAATTTTTAAAATATATAAAAAGTAATAAAAATATATAATTTGGTTTTTTTTTTCAAATTTTTACATCTTAATTTATAATTCGATCTGAACTTAATATATATATATTTAATATTTAAATTTAATTTGAATCAAATTAAAAAAAAAAAAAAAGATTCAAACCGAATCAAACAATATTTGAATTTTTTCTGTTTTTTTCTCACCCATTTATACTGTCCCCAGGTTGGTTCAAATTCTGCTGGTTTGAACCACAACATGAACCGTGGCTTGAGATCTGGGTCATTTTATCATTTTCCATTTGGAGAGGAAAGAAACCTTTGATCAAACTAGTTTCATTTAACATTTGTCATGCCTGGATGCAGAATTTTCCTAAGATTGAGCACTTTGTTTTCATTGTAATGGTGAGGGTTGAATCAGGTGGAAGAGCACAGAGAATTTGAAAGGTTTGGTTCCATGCTCGATCACTTCCATGGCTAGTCTTTGCTACCTTCTTATTCTCCAGCTTGATGGTCACATAGGTTGACTTTCCATTTGCAAGCATACACTACCAAAAAAAAAAAACATGTCAGGATAGCTTTACAAGGGCATTGCAGCAAAGATTGAAAAAGGCCTTCATTCATGACAAAAACCCTCATTCCGTACAAGAAGTTCTTTGCCTAAATATTTTACCTCGAGATTATTTCAAGTCTCTCAAACACTTTTGGGGTGATAATGAACCTACCACTAACTTCACTTAGAACATTATTTGTTACAAATTTCGTTAATGCAATTAAAATCAAGTTATTACTTTCATTGAAGGGAAATGGCGTGTAAGTAGTTGTATAAAAAATTGTGGGCTTCAAGTGTTCCTTGGAAGAACTTTTGCTTTCCCCTCCATTGTCAGGAGCCTTCAAATTACCATAGGATCGGTTGTCTTCACAAAAAATTATCAAATATAAACAATTCAAGCTCATTCATAAATCAAGGCATTTTAGCCGGTATTCCAAGCTCATATGTCTTCTTGACATAAACGTTAAGCATTTGGCTCAATTTTTATGAAATTATACCTTTCGTTATAGTAATTTATTTTAATTTTGTTTTGACATGGGATAGAGTTTTTTATATAATCCTTGAGTATATGAAGGTAGTGAGGTTGAAGTTGCTATTGATCAAGAAGCAATGGAAACTTGGAACGCAATTGAATGATGGGGTTGGCGTCTTGGAAGACCTGGTGCAATTCTCCATTGCTAATCTTAGATGCAATCACCAAGTCTTTGACAAGTTTTCACTTGAAATTTACTTAAACTAATCCAATCATACTTTTCCGAACTGCCAAAAAAAAATTGAAACCTAATTCTTCTTGCTTATACGTTTCTCTATTTAAGTAGATCAATAGATAACATGATCGTTTTGAGATCAACTGAGAAACTTATGACCACTTAATTCGGGGCTGACTTGATAGTTTTATCAAATTAGAAAATTTTATAGGTTTTTTTTTTTTTTGAAAGGCAAAACTTTCTCTTTTTATATATTAATATTTTTTTGAAGAGAATTTCGAAAATAAAATTTTGAATCTATCAAATTAGGTTAGGAAGTGTACCTTAAAATTGTCCTAAAAAGAGATTAACTCAATCAAAAATTTTAAAATGTTCCTGATTGTATTACCAAAATAAAATTAAAGAAAAAACACAATCAAATGTTTAAGATGTTAACAAAAAATTCTATTTGGCTAGATCCATTTATTTTATGTAAATTAAAGCTGATATCTCAAGAAAATTATGTTAATATTAACGTTAGTATTTTTTTTGTAAAAAAGAAGTAACAGTTTAGGAATTAAAGAAGGGATTACATAAAGTGAGATTTAAATCTTATAGCTATTAGATACCACTTTTAAAAATGAATTAAGTTTGAGATTCTTGTTAGCAAATTTTGATATGCCCATTCTAGCACAAAGCAAGATCAATAGGATAGAAAAATGAAAAAGAATATGCAAATATCTAAACTAATTATGAACCATGAGATATATACTAAAGCAATAGACCTCACAATTACATAGTAAACCTGTCATAATGTATAAATCAGTAGATTTATCGTTGGACATAAATTAAAGAAATCATCACTAATATTTTTTGTTAAAATGTGATTTGTCACCTAACAGAATTTATCATATTTAAAGAGGATCCCAAGATTATTTTAGATATCTTTAAATAGTATATTATAGTTCACGAAACTAAAATTTAGGTTCGAAAATATAGTTATACATGAGAAAAATTATAACCCTTACAACACCCATTCAAAAGATGGTATCAGTTTGATTTCAAGTTATTTAAAGCATTAAAACATATTTAAAATTTGTCAAATAATTTAATATTAATTTTTTTAAATTACTCTAATATGTTGATAATAATTTAAGAATATTTTTTCACCTCAAGAATATTCAAAAAGACTATTTGTCACGTTTTGAAGAGACTCTCTCGTCGAATTAACTTAATTTTGCTTCCAAAAATAAATATTTATAATTCGAGTTTATAGTCAGAAATATCCTCGAATCTATTGGTAAGATTTTTTGTTAAAAATTATCTCCCAATCTATTGGTAGAATTTTATGCGAAAAGATAGGAAATATTATTTTATTATTTTTAAAACTTGATTTTTTTAGGAAATTATAAAACTTTTTCAAAACCTTATTGTAAAAATAAAATATTAGCCCTCTAATCAATTGATAAAGTTTTTATTTTTATTTTTTTGAAATAAAAAAAAGTTATAAAGTTTTTTAATATATTGATAAAATTTTATTTAAAAAAAATGATTGCCTTCCAATAATTTGATAAGGTTTTTTTTAAATATGTTTTTATAAAAATATATTTAAAGAATAATAGTTAATCAAATAAATAAATATAAACAATTAAATAAAAAATAAAAATACCTGACTCAATTAGGCAGTTGGGCTGTGTGGCTTACTAAAATAAATCCTCACATTTCAAATTCTACAAATAATTTCAAAAAAAAAAATCTACTATAAAAAATCGTATCTTTTTTCTCAATGATTTTTCTCTTTTCTTTTTTCATAATTTTTTGTATAATTTTTTTCCATCCTTGTCTTTTGTTTGCCTTAGAGCAATTTATTAAGATTTTTTAATCAAAAACTTTATAAATCCATTGATTGTCAAAAATTTTTAAAATTTTTTTAAATCCCTTTAATTTAAGTAAAATCAATTTAACAAAAACCTAATTTTAATGTTCTATGACTTTTTTTATTTGATTTCTTATTTCATACAAATTAAAAAAATCCAAAAATTCCTCTTTGTCCGATTATTGTATAGAATTTTAAAAAATTTCTATTTGATTTTTTTTTTCATTTATTTGATTTTTACTAAAAAATAAACAACAAATAAATAAAAATAAAAATAAAATAAAACATTTATTAGGGCAAAGCTTACATTAAAATAACATATATTGAACTCAAATTCTGATAATTTCGATAAAATCCGAAAATTTGGATGCAAGCCCCGCTGGTTGTCTGCAAAGCCCACGACTCTATACCCCCTACATTCCTCACCATTCCTACCCTCTGTCTATTCCCCTCGAACTTCAGACCAAAAAAACATGACAACCTACGGTAAAATCCCGATTTCCTCCACGCCAGGGCCCGCCACGAACCTCCAAAACCTATCTCAAGCCAAGGAACGTATGAAAGAAGGGCTCGGAGCTCGACGTCCATGGAAACTCATGTTCAGCATCCGCTCCTTCAACTTCCCTGGAAACCTCTCCGAAGCCATTTTCAGGGTGAGACCCAACTTAGCTTACTTCTGCATGAACTATGCCATAATCGTGGTTTTGATCCTTTTCCTTAGCCTTTTATGGCACACCATCTCCCTTATAGTCTTCCTAGTCATGATGGCCGCTTGGTTGTTCTTGTACTTCCTACGGGATGAACCCTTGGTTATTTTCAACCGTACGATCGATGATCGTGTGGTGCTGATCGTGTTGGAGCTTTTGACCATCGTGTTTCTTCTGTTGACTCATGCCACCCTCAATATTTTTGGTATCGCTTTTGATTGGTGCGGTTTCGTTTTGGTGCACGCTTCTTTGAGGAGGACTGATGATTTGTATGATGAAGAATCTGCTGGCTTGATGTCAGGACCTTCATTTTCTTCTTCATAATTGTGGTGTTTTTTAAAATTTTTTTGTGGGGTTGAGTTATTATTGATATTACTATGATCTCAAATTTTTTGTTTTTTTGTTTCATAGTGTTCTTTAATTTAACATTGTTAATTAAGTGCCAAGTTGAAGATGTTTTCGTTTGGCCCCCTGAATCATATCTGACTGGAAGTTGTGCAAGTGGCAGTTTTGAATAGTGGATGAAGGAATCTGTTGCTCAGATCATCTGATCTTCTTCTGACAATTGTGTTTTTTTCTCTGGTAATTGAGAATTCTCTTACCTTCAGTACTGATATATATGCACCAGCTGGCCATTGTTTTCTTCTTTTTTTGGATAATTAAAGTTGTATTCATTCATTCGAAGAGCAGGAAATCACCTGCTACAAAAATTAGCCATTGTTTTCATCAGTGAGCAGCAGTTCATGATTTTTGGCTCAGAAAACTATATATTGAAACAGTCCGGTTATGGTTGTTAATGGTTTATTTGGATTTTTTTTCCTTTTTTTTGTTATAATATTTTCTTTCAGTTTCACTCAAATTTCTATTTTGGCTTGAATGGTTCTTTTTTTGTGATTCATTTTGAGGAAATGAACTTAGGGTTTTGTTACATTCTGCTCTCCAAGTTGTGGGCCTTTTGACCATGATTTTACTAAACCAAGATTCAAAATTAAATAATTAATGGAAAAAAAAAAGAGATCACATATCATAATTTTCACTAGCTGATGAGGATTGGTTCTCATATAATTAATGGGGTGCGGAATTTTTATTGCTATTGTTTAATATAAATAGGGGAAGGCACTTGTAAAAATCAAATATTTAACTTATAAAGTGTTCGATTTTTAGTATCAATAATCTTTCTTGATAGACGAACTTTAATTTTTTTTTTTTTAATTACAGCAAACGTTGCTCCTGAAATGGGATAACCTCAGCTTACCTGAACTTTTCTTGTAAAAGAAGGTTTTTCATGGATATGGTGCAATAGTCGCTAATCAACAGGGGGGACACTTCTAATGCAGGAATGAAGGGTTTTGGCATGTGATTTGAAGCCGTATAAAAGGAGCCAAATTTTCATTTTGTCATTAAAAGTTGGGGATAATCTTTCTTAGTTTTTCAAGAATAATGACATATGCTAAGATCCATGATTTGAAAGGCTCAAATTTTTTTTTTAACCAATGTCTCCCCTAATTAAGGAAACGAAGTTGGATTCACAATCCTATGCCTAGCATCAAGCTGAACAGGATGTATAATGTTTGCAAAATAATAAGGCAATTAGTTTAAAATATTATCATGTAATGAACAAAATCTTGGAGTTTGTAGAGATAGGTAAATGGTTAATGTGATTGCTTTCACTGCATCAATCATGACGTACTTGTGGATCTCGTGTGACCCTACCAATCATCGGCGGTGGATTTGTGGGCAATCGCCTCACAACAGTCCACTTCCAGCTTTTCAGGATGCCTTTACTTTGTCGAGGTCCTTGAAGGAAGAAGTTACATCAAAGAGACTTAATATTTGCAAGCAGTCGTAAACTCTGTTAGTAAAATGTAAGATTCTTAATTTCAAAGATCATAGTCCAAATGGTTTCAAGTAAAAAAAAAAAAAAAAAACTTAATATTTAGAATCCTTCTCCTCATTTTTAGTCAAGCAGGGCTAGAAATAACCATAGTTTTATTTTACAAGACAATAGATAATTTATGGATCTTGAATCTGTTATTACAATAGCATCCCCTTCCAAGTGGTTTGCACATTTATTCTTATGTCAAAGGGCTTTGTTAACATCATTCTAGGCGTAAGGTTGTCATTTAAGACTGCAATATATTGGTTCTATCGTCACAATGTGATCCCGTACAACATGGACATGTTATATTTCTGATTGCACGATCACAGCAAATAGAACATGCCACGAAAGTGGTGACGGATCTTCAGAACAGTGTGTTGCCTTCATCAGACAGGCTGCGTATGCACATAAGAGTAAATATAACTGGCCTTAGTAGTTTTGAAACATGCTTGTTTGGCAGAGTCCCATTTCATTATATCGAATGACTCATTTTACTATTTTTGTAGATATGCCAGGTCCAAGATGAGGAAGCCCTAGGAAGAAGGGAATGAACTGGCAATTTTCAAAATGGTCCAGCTGGGCACCCATCCCAGTTTTATTGTAAAAGCATTGTCTCCTGTCGTCCTGTCCCCGTTTGACGGATTAGTTCAATTGTCCAACATTGTAAAGGTGACACTAATTCATATTTAATGCTAATGCTTTTCTCATCATTTCTTCACATTCAATCTTATGTTCTGCTAAATCGTGTTCAGCACCCCAGAATTCAGTGCATTTACGGATTGAATATAAGCTAACTCACCGGGCCACTCGATCATTTTGCAATCTAAGTATGAATGACTTTCAGCTAGTATTTTACATTGGAAAGTGAAAAGATTCTCCCATGTGAAAAACACCCTAATTCACAGTTCAGGATTGCCATCTTATCCTGGCAAATTCGTATTACCAAACATAAAACACATTTATTATCAATCTTGTATACAATTTTTATTTTATTAAAATTTTAAATCGTATCTTTTTCATATAAAAACATATGTATCTATCACAATGACATGATAAAAATTATCAGGTCTCGTGAACACAAAAGGTGGCATTGTGAAAACAGGCAGTGAAGCGAAAATTTAGAGGTCCGAATGGCCATATTTCCCACCCTTGACCCATTCAGCATTTTCTTTTTCCTGGAATATCCATAATGGAGTTATAGAATGGATAGAGTAGACCTAAGGATAAGATTCTTTTGCAAACACTACACTGAAATTTATGACATAACGAAAGTAACTGTCGGATGAGACATCACTTTCAAGTTTTCACAAGACAGAACTTCGATGTTTCACAACAGAAAAAAAAAAAAATCATCATCAATGTCTTGTTATCGCTTAGAGGCAACATGACTACAACAAAACCAACCAACTTGTTCTTGTAAAAAGAATTTGGCTTCACTCTACTGTCAAGCTCCAAAAAGACAACCAGAAATTTAATGGCTTTTCTTATTAATGACCTGTCTTTCTTCATTTCTCAGACTTGTCATCATGAGAAAACATGTAATTGGCTGGGTAAGTTTTATGTTTAAAAAAAAAGTATTTTCAAAAGTTTGAAACTTAAAAATAAAATAAAATTTTTACAGGTACGATAAGGACGTTTCACCTTGAGTTCTGTTTGTTTCTTGACAAAATCTCAAGACCATTTTTGTCAGCTACAAGCTTCTGTCTTTAACAAAAATCAACTATTCTTACCATGAACTGCCAAAGACATTTTACTTTTGCTCACCAATAAGATTCATAAGAACTGCCCCGCCATGCACTATCAAACAAAATCCCATACCAACAGACATGTGAGAGAGAGAGAAAACCATATTCCTCAAGCTGCTTCATTGATTTAATTAGAAGGCATATTCACCATAGCTTTGAAAATCGGCATTTCCAAAAGAATTACAAAAACCCTATTACCCCTTGCTTCCAAAACTACTACTACTACCACTATACAAAAGCAGAATCATGATGGCATTGGAAAATATAAACAAAAGAAAATATAACCAAAGGCCACATATATTTAGCGTACCATGCGTGCAAAGAAACTCGGTAACTGAGCTTTTCACAAATCATCTTCACATGAAGTTGTTCTGGCTCCCGGACTTAGTCCATACAGGGAGAGCTTCCCACTGAACCCTTCCAATGCTTCATTTACCAAGGATCCACTGTAACGCTGTTGCTGCTCTGCCCATATCCGGCCACTGCAGTTGCCAACATCATATCCTGGGGATGAGTAATTTGTGTCCATGAGCATGTCACCTTCCAACATGCGGAGCACCTATTCCGAAAGAACATTCAACCAATCAGTAAACTATTCTGTAACTTATTGACTAATGGCTTGAAAAACCAAAATCTGACGAAGTAGAGATATTTTGTGACCCAATCCATTCCTTCCAAATACTCACTATATTCTAAGCAGATTCTGATATTTAACCATTTATGTCTTCCATTCCCGATAATTAGACAGAAAATAGACCTCTGGAAATATAAAAAACCAGAGCCAAAAATGTTTATTTGACCAAACATTTTCAATGAAACTTTGAAAGTAAAACAATGTTTGTGATAAACAATCAGTATATTGCAAGTAAAATATGTCTGGTGAAACAAATTAGCCTCTTTTGTATAATGTTTCCCATTACCTGTGACATACGAGGCCTAGATTGAGGATCCCGCCTTATGCATAATGATGCAGCATGAAGCATGCAATAGACCTCATGTTCTGAATAGCGATCCTCCAATCTTGGGTCCACCAATTTATCTATAGCATATTCTTCCAAAAGTGGACGTGCCTATTCCAGATCATAACATAAGCAATAAGTCGCAATGAACCAACAAATTTACAGCCTCAAGGACATTTAAAAACCAGAAAAACTCGTTTGACCCCTCCATTTGTATGGCAGATGTTAGTGCTATGTATTTTATATGTCGTTCTTTAAAGTTACACAGGAGTAAAGACCAGCATGATATACAAGCAGAGTTTTAAAGTACCCATTCAGTTAGACATTGCTGGCCCTTTGACCTATTAAGATCCACAGCTTTCTGTCCAGTAACAAGTTCAATTAACACCACTCCAAGGGAATAAACATCAGCTTTTTCTGTGATTTGGCCAATTTGAACATATTCTGGTGCCAAATACCTATTCCAACAGCATAACCATTATTGGATTCAGCAATTGCATAGGGAAGGTATATAATAAAAAAAATGTTGTCATTCAAGATTACCCAAATGTTCCAATCACTCTTGTTTCCACTCCAGTATCACCATCAGGCTGCCATCTTGCAAGGCCAAAATCACCAACCTATCAAAACAAAACTGAATCAATACCTGCAGATGCTACTATTTAAGGAAAATATAAAAAGGTTCGGATACACAAATGACTTCTGCTAGTATCCATCAAAAAAATTTGAAGGTAATAGGATTGGAAGTAATACTATATCGAGGAACTAAATGCCAACAGAGCAAATTCCTCTTAAACCTTGAACACCAAAGAACTTTGTTTTCATAGTCTTGTTCAACAAAAAAAACAGTAAAGGAATCTCCCTAATGTCAATGCAACAAATGATGAATAAATGTCTTTTAGCTTGTAAATCCAAAATTCACAACCATGCTGAAGAGTTAAAAGCTTGCTTACCAAAGGTTCAAAATCATGGGTGATGAGAATGTTGTTCGGCCGCATGTCACGGTGCACAATGCAGCCAACTCTGCACTCTTCATGAAGGTATCTCAGACCTCTAGCAGCTCCAACAGCAATCTTTTGCCGTGCAGACCATTCTAAAGGTTCCTGATAACGCCCTGAAACACATCAAATTGATACATTCAAAACCATGGTTACCAGATAGAAATAAGCATATTTAACATAAGAAATCTTTTTTCTAAAAACTTATAGTTACAGTTGTGGCTAACTTCAGCTATCTGTGGTTTTTGAGTTTTGCATTTCATTTCCCTTAAAATCTGGGTTGGGGGCTAAGTCAGGTTGGAGAACACTTTTTCTAATTCAATCATTAAACCCAAACAGTTGGGAAAATACATTCTCAATAAACAAAGATAACAAGCTCTTTTATGTCTCATAACCACATAGCAAACTCTTTGAAGGGCCCATTGATGATGAATATATCAACCACAGGTGCAGACCAATGATTAGCACAAACATATCAAAGCTGGATTAGATCGGCATAAAGATTTATTCTACTTAAACAGAAAGAAATACCATATAGATGAGAATCTAGGGATCCATTGCATATGTACTCATAAACCAGCAGCCGCCTTCTATCCTCAATGCAGAACCCAATCAGCAAAACAACATTCCTGTGCTGCGCACAGCTAAGGACTTCCACTTCTGAGCAAAACTCAAGATCTCCTTGAGAACTAGCCAATTTGTGTTGCTTGACTGCAATTGCCTGGCCATCTGGGAGTACTCCTCTATGAACAGATCCAAACCCACCCTCAGCCAAGAAATTAGCTTGTGAAAATCCACCAGTTGCAAGGTCCAATTCAGCATAGGTAAACAACCTAGGTGGTTTTCCAAATACCGGTGCCTTGTGCTGACATATTGAACACAATGGAGGAGGGCCAAGAGGGGCATTCCTGGATAATGAAATTGCTTCTCTCACATTTCCACTAAATTCAATATCACTCCTAAAGCTTGATATTCCAATTCCAGCTTCCCTATCGAGTTTTGAAAATTTCTCAAGCAAGGCTTTTGTTGTTGAAGCTTGAACCCTGTCATTGGCTCTACCTGAAGTTTCTTCTAGGTGTTGTGAGGACTGATGATGAGAAGTAAGATATTTTGTTATCCATGGTTGAAACCTTAAACTCACTGAAGATAAGGATAAATTTTCACTCTCTGTGTCTGAACTAGATCCGTCAAGATCCTGACTGTCCTCAATGACTAATGATTCCTCTTTCTTCAGGTCTCCATTCCCTTCTGATATGAAAAAAGGTGAAGTGCCTGGATCAGAGCTTGACACTGAAGACATTCCTGCTTCAGTGGCAGTAAATGGTGTCCCCAGCTCTGGACTACTAGTTGGAGTAACAACTGGCCCTCTAATAGAATCAGATGATCCATTTTTGTTCTTTTCAGATGTTTCATCTATCTCAGAATTTAATTGACAATAAGCTTCGGCTTCCTTCTCAGGTGATCCAACCAAATTTAGGCGGAGAACTTTTGCCTGTGAACGCTTTATAACCACTATGTTGCATTGCAACTCCTCTATGCAGCGTTTTTCCTCTGGTTTTAGCTGCCTGAAAAAGTACAAGAAACAAAGACACAAGATGGAGATATTGAAAGTGTGAAAATATATACCCTTTTAAATGGAACTCAAAAGGAAAAGCAGAAAAGGAAATGAAAGGGAGAAGAAACAGAGCAAACAGGATGTTACTTGTCCAATACAACCCAACTAGCTTGGGCTTGGTTGGCCTCTGCAGCTACCGCTCCACATAGTGATCCAGAAACAATTTTAATCTTGACATTAATCTATGCAATTAAGTTCGGAAACAAAGCATTAGCAGGCAAGGACATTTATGTAAAACAGTCATATAATCATGCACCCAGAGCCAGGTATTTACCTTGTTTGAATCATAAACATCGTGGAGCTCAAGGATCATTTGGGAGCAGGAATCAGTTATATCAGACTTTTGCTCTGAACTTGATCCTGATTGAGACTTCCGGCTACCATTGGCGCAGTCCCCAGCAAATCTTGGAAAACCCCATTTTCTTCCTGGATGATTGCAGCATTTAACCAGCAAGCAGGAATTATTGGAGAAAATATAGTTAGAGGATTTTTCAAAAGTTAAACACTATAATCATTTCTAATTATGACTCTTTCAAGCCTTGTTTACTCTTGTCTATGCCACAAAATAGCTTCACATAATCATCAAAACTAAATAATTTGAAATGAAGTATCTGGAATGTCAGAAACTGAAAGATCATCAATGTACAGCAAGATTTTCAGGGATAATAATGTAAGTGCATATCCATTAATTCAAAGAAAATCGAAGATAAGCACCCAAAATCCAAAATATACAACAGATAAACAATAGCATTGAGTTGGAAATTTCTTCATTACTAACTTGAATGTACTTGTATTAAGTAACATGCTTTAACAAAACCAAGCAGAAGATTAGTTAAGTAACTTGTTAGAATAACCTAACTTCTTCAGACCAGAAGAAACAGTAATTGTGAAGTAAACAGACTAACCAAACCCCTTTGAACGTGAGGTTCAAACGTCATTCCAGTAATCAATAATCTAAAATGGCAAAACAAAATGATACATCAATATTACCATCTCCAGTAGTTCAATACTAAAAATGCCGTAGATAGATGCAAAACCAATAAGAAAGAAGAAATAGTACCTGAACCATGTGAAGGAACAACAACAAGCAACGTAATGCAATCTCCAGGTTGAACAACGTGAGTCAAAGCCCACACCAGAGCTGTCTTAGGAATTTCTTTCGATGCCTTAACAGCAACCACAACCTGCTTGGCAACATCCGTGCCACTTTTTCCCTGCTTTCCCTTCTTCTCTTCTCCACTCATTTAGCGCAAAGAACTTCTCTGAAACTTCCTCACTTAACAGATCAAACTATCAAAAACCTATCTTAATACCAATTATCATTGTAGATGCCAAAAAAATGCCTTCAAAAGACACAAACAAAACAAAACATTTGTATTATTGATCTACCCCTACCGTATTGGATTCCAGGACGTGTACGACGGACATTGCAACTATTCCATTCCAGATAATCTGCAGAGAGACAGAGAGATACCAGTATTTATGACGAGACCCTTTTCACTGATTCACATTAACTCCTAAAGAATTGTCCACCCTCCAAAGAAAACCCCACTTTTCAAAGACCTCTTAGTTTCACTTTCTAGCGAAATTTTACTATGAATAGTCCAAGGTGATTGCAAATAAGATTGAAGATCTAGCTAGCCTTTTGTCTAGAAAACAATAAACAATGCCTTTTGCTTAAATTAGGCACTGATTGAGAATCAAACCAATGTTTCACATGAACTGCAAAGCGACAGCTATCCCAAAAGGTGAACCTAATGCATATTTACAACACAACTAGCTTTGCTTTTTTTTCTTGGAAGGGATTCAAAGCAGAGAGTTAAAACAGTGAAAGTAACAGCTATAAAACAAGAAAGCATGAGCTGTGTTTTTGGATCCAATTATCAGTTCCCCCCCCCCCCCCCTTTTCTCTTGTTCAGTCCTTTACAGAAACAGAACAAAAAATTCAGCTCTTTGATTCTCTAGTGTAGGCTTCCAAACAAAGATGATCAAGTCACAATGAATGACGAGAAGGCATATGTGGCGAGCCAGCAGCACTCTTGTAGATAGATTTGATTGTTGAATCTTCACAACTAGCAAAAAGCCTCACATTTGAAACTGTATAAAGAAAAAAGAAGCACCCTTTTTAGGCCTCAAATTCAAGCCACAAACGAAATTTAAATAATGCAAAATTGTAAAAAAGAAATAGAGATCAATACTTTAAAATTTAAAAATACATTCAAAAGACTAACAAAAAGAAAATACTAATGTCAAGCTTGTTTGGACTGAAAATTTAAGAAAACAACAAGAACATCAGAATTATCAGCTGACAACATAGTCCTTTTTTTCTTTCTTTTCTAAAACCCATTCGACAAACCATCAACAATAACCAAAAAATATAAGAAAAAAATTAAATCCTCTTCAAAATACAACTGAAACTCTTCCTTTAAACCATAAAGAATAATGAAGATCCCCCGAGCCAAACCTCATTAACTAAACAACGAAGCAGACAAAACAAAAGACACAGAAACATTTTTAACAAAAAAAAAAAAAGAAGATATAGAATACCACACATTACCAGCAAACTTTCTAACAATTCAAACCCCATTGGTTTTCCACAAAAAACCGTATTCCCATTGACTAAAAGAAAGCTGCTTTGATTCACTAAAAGAAAAAAGAAACAAGAAACGAAAAGACTAACTTGGTTGAAGAAAATATATAAGAAAAAAATAGTTTTTTGAAAGTGAAAATACATGAGAAACAACAGATTTCGTACCCAGACACGAAATAGTCACTCATTTGTTTTCATTTTAAATTATTTTTATTGAATTTAACTCACACTTCTTCTTCTTCACACCATCTCAGCAACAACAATAACAAGTTCAAACGACTACTACGGTTTTATTACAAAGATTTGAAAGAACAAACTTTGGCCACTAAATGATGTGTGTAGGAGATAACAACAATAAAATTTTGCTTGTAAAAACCAAGCTGTTATTTTTTTTCCCTATATTTTAAATTTTAAATATTAAAAAAAAAGGAAAATTGGGTGCTTTACTGTTGTAGTAACAGGAGACACGTACCGTTGGACAAAGTAAAGTGATGAAAATTACAATGATATATTACGAGAATGCCCTTGAAGATGGGGTGGAATTCCGAGGTTGGGATTCGAGAGGATATTGTCACACTGGGTTTAGGAGGCCATTAAGCGACGTCGTTGAAGGGATAGAATATTTTTTAGTATAAGTGTAATAACCCCTTTAGCCCCCTGAACTATTATACGTTTTCTAATGTGATTTCTAAAAAAAAATTTTCGAGTTAGATATTTAAATTATATTTTCATGTGTTAATTTATTTTAATTTTTGAAATTATTATTTTTAAACATTGACGTGAGATAAATATTTAATAAAATATTATTATATATTAAAAAATTTAATAAATATCATATCATCATGAAGTTTGGAAAGTCATTATAAATTATCTTTAAATTTCAATGAAGATGGTGAATGGTAGGGAAGTGATCAAGTAAGAGAGTGAATGAGATATCACTGATATGAAGATGACTTAACTCAATATCAAAGTAATGCATACACTTTTTTGTGCATTGGGGCCTAATAAGTATAATAAAGTTTCTTTGTGTGAAAATACAAAAAAAATTTGAAATAAGTTAGTTGTCACTCATGAAGATACAAATCAAGTGAAAGAGATAAAAATTAACATGTTCACTTATGATTATGAGTTATTCAAGATGAAACCAGATGAAACCATTAGTGAATGTCAAACCGTTTCACTGACATCATTAATGATTTAAAGGCTCTTAGGAAGACTTACTCAAATGTGAAAGTGATAAAAAAAATTTTAATAGTCTACTAAAGAGCTAGAAAGCTAAAATGACAGCCATTGACGAGTCCAAAGATCCTCACACTCTCATCGGATGAACTAATGAGTTCTTTTCTTACCTATAAGATGAAGCTTAAAAGAGGATAATAACCAATCAAGAAAGGTGGCATTGCTCTCAAATCCACCTTTTAAGAAGATGAAAAAAATCTTGGACAAGAAAAAGATGATGAAGATGAAGAGATGAGGATTAATAAGTTTTCAAGTAGAAGAAGACCATAAAGAAAATTGACTAAAGAAGAATCAACTAAAAAAAAAAAGGATCAAATTATTTGCTATGAATGCAATAAATCAGGTCATATTAAATTTAATTATCCTTTATGAAAGAAGCAAAACATGACAAAGCCAAAAAGAAAGCAATGATAGTAACATGAAGTGATAGTGACTTCTCCAAAGATGAATCAAATGAGGAAGAAGTAGCCAATCTATATCTCATGGCTTTTGATGAGCCCAAGATAACTTCTAATCCATATAATTTAAATTCATACACATTTGATAAACTACAAAACGCTTATGATGAATTAGCCATAGAATTTGAGAACAAGAACATGAAATATAAGAAAATGATTTTTAAGTTGAAACTAGAAAATGAATCATTGACTAAAGCAAAGGATGACTTAAAAAAAAAAGTTGAGCTCTTAAAGTTGAATATCAATTACTTGACTAAGAAAAATAAAAATTTGCATAACTCATTTTTTAGATTTTATATAGGACATCAAAAGCTCAATGACATGCTTGAAATATAAAGAGCATTCTTTGACAAAGATGGATTAGGCTATAATAGTGGTAACAAAGAGACTCATTTAAAGAATTTTTTTGTTAAGCTAAATGATTCATCTAGCATACATGCATATTATCATAAATTAGGTCATTCTATACAATATTGTTCCTTAAAGAAAGTCACTTATAGAGGTAAGCTCATTATGAGAGTGTAGATTCCAAAAGGAGTTAGCACATCTCAAGATGAAATTATTAAAATGAAGTGGATTCCAAAAGGCACAAAAATTGTTAGTACTAACACTCAATGACCCAAGAAAGTTTGGGTACCTAAAACAAAAATTTAATTATGTTTTTATAGGTGGATGAGAATTACTACAAAGCCAATTCAAGCAAGAACAATCCATGATACCTTGATAGTAGATGCTCAAAATACATGACCAGAGACAAAACTCTTTTTAAAGATTTAAAAGCTAAAAGTGAAGAAGATGTTATATTTGATGACAACTCTAAAGGCCAAATTAAAGGGATTGGCTCCATTGGTAATAATTTTTTTACTATTATTGAAAATGTTTTACTTGTAAAAGGACTCAAGCATAACTTACTTAGTATTAGTCAATTATGTGATAAAGGACTTAAAGTTATGTTTGAATCCATGTGTTGTTAAGTGATTGATATCAAAACTAACAAGCTTGTTTTTGTTGGACATCGTCAAGAAAATATTTATGTAGTGCATCTAGATGATCTTTCCTCTAAAAATGTTTATTTTATAGCTAAAAAAAATAAAATTGAATTTAGCATAGAAGACTTAGACATACAAGTATACGTGTAATTTCAAAACTTTCTTAAAATGATTTGGTTGTTGGTTTGTCAAAATTGAAACATGAAAATGACAAGGTTTGTGATGCATGTGCTCAAAGAAAACATAAAAAAATCTCTTTCAAACCTAAGAATTGCATTTCAACTAGTAGACATCTTTAACTACTTCATATTGATCTTTTTGGTCCTACTAAGACAATGAGTCTTGGTGAAAAATAATATGGGTTTGTTATTATTGATGACTTTACTAGATTCACATAGGTTCTTTTTTTGCATTCAAAAAATAAAGCTTTGAAAAAATTCATCACTTTTAGCAAACAAATACAAAATGAAAAAGGCTATTCAATTTCTGGTATTAAAAGTGATCATGGAAAAGAATTTGAAAATCTTGGCTTTAATGTGTTTTGTAGTGAAAATAGTATTAGCCATAATTTTTTTACTCCTAGAACTCCTAAAAAAATGGAATAGTAAAAAGAAGAAATAGAACTTTAAAAGAAATGGCTAGAATTATACTTTGTGAAAATAATTTACCTAGATATTTTTGGACAAAAACTATAAATAGCTCTTGTTATATTATAAATAGAGCTATGATTAGGTCAATTTTGAAGAAAACTTCCTATAAATTTTTAAAGAAAAAGACCTAACATAAGTTATTTTCATCTTTTTGGTTGCAAATGTTTTATTTTGAATAATGAAAAAGATGACCTTAAAAATTTTGATGCAAAAAGTGATGAAAAAATTTACCTAAGATATTCTTTGAATTCAAAAGCCTATAGAGTCTTTAATAAAAGAACATTAGTTATTGAAAGTCTATACATGTTATCTTTGATGACTCTAATTCACCTTCGAGAAAAATGTCTTTTGATGATAATGATGTAGGTATACTTCAAGAAAATATCAAGATGTATCATTTAACATTAAGGAAAACATTCAAAATAAGGATGATGAGTTTCTAGAGGAGCCACAACATATAGAGAAAGAGCCAAATCACCATAAAAAAAGGATATATGTCAAAGATAATGAGATTATTGGTGATCCAACTTAATGAGTAAGAACTAAATCTTCTTATAATGTGTGTAATTATGTTACTTTTTCATCTCATATTGAACCCAAGAATATAGATGAAGCCTTAGGAGATGATCATTGAATATTGGCCATACAAGAGAAATTGAACCAATTTGAAAGAAGTCAAGTATAAAATCTTGTACCTAGACCTAGTGATCATCCTACTACAGGCATCAAATGGGTTTTTCATAATAAAATGATGAGCATGAAAATATTGTTAGAAACAAAGCTAGATTGGTAGCTCAAGGATATAGTCAAGAATAAAGAATTTATTATAATGAAACCTATGCCCCTTTGCAAGGTTAAAAGCCATTAGAATGTTGCCTGCATTTGCA